CAGGAGGCCACACGGCTCGGGGACAGAGGGCAGGAGGTCACTCGGCCCGGGGACAGAGGACAGGAGTCCACACAGCCCAGGGACAGAGGGCAGGAGGCCACACGGCCCAGGGACAGAGGGCAGGAGGTCACTCGGCCCGGGGACAGAGGGCAGGAGGCCACACGGCCTGGGGACAGAAAGCATTGAGAGTGAGTTGCTGACACCAGTCCCCCCCCATCCCCCCTGTCCCCGTGGCTGCAGAGAAAGCCAGACAGAGGTGGGAGCAAATGCCAGGCTGTGAGGGGTTACGACGGGATGGATGGCCAAGGGGTGCTCCTGACGGAGAGCTGGGCAGAGAAAGTTCTGGAAGACCAGAAAACCCGAGGTCTTCAATGTTCAGGAAGCGGGTGCCCGTCCGAGTCTCAGGAAGAGCCCGTGGCAGGGGTGGACAAGGAGTGTGACCCACGGGAGACAGAGGATGCGCTGGGAGGGCCCCGGAGGGGGAAGGAGCGGGAGGAGAGGAGGGGACGCTGAGCCCCTCGGTCCCTCCAACGGGAGGAGGTTCGTGCACGGGCCCTGCTTCTCGGTTCACCGCCAGGCAGGAAGCAGCCGGGAGGAGCCAGCAGGACGGCTCACGCCAGGGCCCCAGAGCAGACGGTGGGCAGGTGGCAGAGGGGATCCCGCGGCCCCAACACCGTCTGCGGCAACTGAGGCGGACCCCACCCCACCGACCAGGCCCGCTCCGGCTCGCTGTCCCGCCTGCCTGCTTCACACACGCCGGCTGCACGCAGGACCCGAGGTCACCTGACAGACGTGCCGGGCGGGGGCCACACGGAAACCCAGGTCAGCCGCCGGGAGGGACCTCGAGCGGGTGGCCCGGCCCGGCCGGCTCCGTGCCTTGTGGGCGAGGAGCAGGGCTGAGGCTGAGGCACAGGCACAGGGTGAGGCTTCCCCGGAAGGACGCCCCGAGGGGGGCTCCAAGGGGAACGCCCCAATCCAGGTAGCGGGCAGGGGAGCCAGAGCACCGAGCGAGCGAGCCAGGAGGCCACGGCCACTGCCTGGGGGCGGCATCGCCGGGACGGCCATCGGGAGCTGGAAGGGGGAGCAGACCCCACCAGCTCAGTGTGGAGCCAGGGAAAACGGGACAGGGGTGCCACTGGCCAGCGCGGGCACTCAGGGCTGTTCCCCCCCTGCCAGCTCACCCCGCGCCCCTGCCATAGTGCCCGCAGACGCTGGGACCGCCCTGGCCTTTGTTCATACTGCTTCTTTGACCTTGCATTTCCTCGAGAATAACAGGGAGGAGGCATGACCTGGTCCCGGCCGGGAGCCCGGCCCCACTCACTCCCCGCAGCGACCCAGGGGAGAGGCATTATCGCCCCATTGCACAGACGGGAAAGCGAGGGCTGTGAAGTAACGTGACACCCAACTCGAGGTACAGGAAGCCGGGTGTCCAGACCAGGGCCCAGGTGTGCGTGCCAAGGCGCGTGGGGTACAGGGTGAAGCCGGGGGTGGTCCGGGGACTGCGGAGCCTTGAGCAGGAGGGACATGTCCAGGGAAACCGTGTGTCCCTGCAGCGCCACCCCCAGCCCCCTGCCCCGGGGCCCTGGAGCTGCCAGGGCCTTAGCCTGGCTCCCCCGCCCGGCTTCAGAAGGGCCCGGAAACCAGGCACAGGCGGCCGGCGCACCAGGCAGTGAACCAGGGAGGCCTGGGGAGAGAAGGGGGACGGAAGCATGGCGGTGGCAGAGGACGCAGTGAGGGGCCCACAGGGACCGACCGCCAGCTGCAGGGGCGGGGAGCCTATGGGGGGAAAGGGCCGGGGGTAAGGTCACCAGCCCTCGACTTGGGGAGGGCACCCGGACCCAGCAGGGCTGGGGCGTGGCGAGCACGTACTTGACGTTGGTGTTGGTGCAGATGACGTATTCTATCTCGTCGGAGTAGGGGTTCTGGAATGTGAAGCTGCTGGTGCGGATCAACAGCCACTCCCGGTTCTTGGTGCGGAGCCGGTACATGACCGACAGCACCTGGCCCTTCAGTTTGACCACCTGAGGAAACAATCGGAGGAGGAAGGAAGTCAGGGGGAGGCAGGGCTCAGAACGGGGCGCCGCGGCAAAGACAGCCCGAGGGGACGGCCAGAGAGCAAGGCTGGGCCGAGGGGGCCTCTCCCCCTGAAGCAGGCACTGTCCTCTGTCACGTTCTCTGAAACACCTGTTTTCTACCAGGACTTCTCAGCTCTTTCAAATCGGGCCATAAAACTCTATAAGCCAAGGGTTTCCCTTTTCGCCTGGGCTGCTAGGGTACTCTGGGTTTGCAACTAGTACCCCGTCCCCGCCCCCCCCCCAAAAAATGATCTCACTCGGGTGTAGAGTTACATCGCAGCAGTGGATTTATTGCTTCCCACCTCGCATTACAAAAATCTTTAAGCTCCGTTTAACGCTGCTAATCGGGTCACGTATACTCCCCGGGAGGAAGGGTAACGAAATGATAAATTCATGTGCGTTATCCGTGCGCGCACGGATCTGTTACTGCTTTTACGCTGCGGTACGGCTTCCAAACTACCTCCAAATGCACGCTCTCACAGGAGGCTGGTAAGGTGGGTCTCACTCTGGGTAGGGCTTTACTACCGAGTCTCGGACAAGGTAAGTAAGCTGCCGGAGATCAGACGACTCTGGGGGAAAAGCTCGGCCGGGAAGCAAGGTCTTACTGCCAAACCACGGGTGCCCGCTCCTGTGCTCCGTGTACACGCACAATGTGTGCACAAGCAGAGACACAGGGCTGTGAGCGTGCTCACACGGCCCTCGCGACCAGCTCCCACGGCTACGGCATAAACAGGAGAAAGCCCAGGAACAAAGCCAGGCGGACGGCATGCCTCTCCGCAGGCCTGTGTCCCCAGATCCTGGGGCTGGTCGGGACAGAGAAGGCTGTGGACCCGGGGAAGCCGGGCTGGCTTGACCACGAGACCAGAGTGTGATCAGAGATGAGAACGGGGACCTGGTCCCAGGGTCGCGGAGGGCCCGGCCCCTCTTCCTTACCTGCCCCCACTTGTACTTTGTTCGTGGTTGGATGTCTGTGCACAGCCTGGGGACAGGGACGTCTTGGTGACCTGAGTCCCGCCCCCCCAGCCCCGCCCTCGCACAGAGCAGGCACAGCATCTGAACTTCCTTGATGGGTCTGTTGGCCCCACGCCCTGGGCTGATGCGCCTGAGCGACCACCCCTGGGGAACCCAGACGAATGAAACCTGAGAGGGCTGGACACCCTGGTGGGAAACCCTGAGTGATCCAGAAACCAGACCAACGTCCAGGGGGGCGGTGACCCTTCCTGGCACCGAGCTCGAGGAGGCAGACGCGGGGTCAGGCAAGACCCCGACCCTCGGGGGTCACTGCCCGTCAGCAGGTCCCAGCAGGAAGCTGGCTCTTTCCCCACAGGACCACCGGTCAAGGCCACGTGCCCCGGGGGCCGGCACGCTGAGGGGGTCCCGTGGGAGACTCTCTGAATCTGCACAGAACACAGGGAAGAGGGCAGGCCACCTCCCACGTGTTGAGCCCCGGGTCGTGGCTCCCTGAGGCAGCTGCTGTGCGTCTCTTAACCGAATGCCCGAGATGGGGGGAGAGGTTTTAGCTCCAGGGAACAAACACCGGCCAAGGCACTGCCCGGGTGCAAAGCCGGAGAAGGAGCGGAGGGAGGGCGCCGGCAGCCCCCGCCCTCCCCGGGGCCAAGTTCCTGGCTCGGCCTGTGACACCAGCCACCTCGCGTGGCCCTCACGACAGCACCGCGTGGATCTGGAAAGTGAGCCCCAAAGGAGTTAAACATCCTGCCACGGCCTGACGGAGCAGCGCGGAGGCAGGAGGGGGTCCCGGATCCCCCGGCCCCCACCGCCCGCCGTGTCTTCATGAACCTCCGAGGCCGAGGCAGAGCCCCTGTCCCAGGACAGGTACGTCAGCGGCGGTAACCAGGCCCAGCGGGCCGAGTCCCGTCTCAGAACCGTAGGCTCAGGAGGCACGGGGTCGCCAGGATGCCGTGGGGTCCACAGAGGGTTCCTGGACGGAGACAGGGCTGGGCTCCCAGATGTACAGCATCGACGTGCACGCTGAGTCCGGCTGCCAGGCTCGCACGGACCACGCAGGCCGGCCACGGCCCCGCCACCCCGCACTCGGTGCTCCACCGTGCACGGCGGGCAAGCAGACAGCAGAGGGGGCCGGGGTCCCAGCCCCGGGTCTCTCGGGGTCCCACACTTCCGCCTGACCTCTGGGGGACCTGTAACCTGGCGAGGGTCCGAGAGCAGAGCCAAGGGCAGATGCAGTTGGGGGCCCCTGCATCGGGCGCCTCCCCAAACCCAAACCGCTCAGGAACCTGGTGGCCCCCTGAGGTCTCACGTCCGGGCCGCTCACACACTTCGGTTTAAATCCAGAGTTCCAGGGCGGACCGTGGGCCGACACAGCCCCCTCTGTGCTTCTGGAAAAACCAGCCGCTTCCTTTGATCAACATCTGTCCCCCAGCCCGGCCGCCGGTGGCCGGAGCCCAAAGAACACATTCGAGGGGCCGAGGCCAGCGCTCCAGGACGTCCCCGTGGCCGCCCGGCTGTGGCCTGCCGGGCGGTGACCGCAGGGCCGTCGGCCCTCAGGCGTGGTTCGGGCTTCGCCTCCTGCCCGCAGGGTGAGCTGGTCGTTCCCGGGGCGAGGGGTCCGTAAGCAGGTGCCGCGCGGGGTCGGGTGTTACGTTCCTCCTGTTTCCGCCCCCAAACCACCGGCTTCCGGCAGCATCCGCGGGGTCATGTCAGCCTGCTGTCGGACGGAGAGGCCTGGGTGTGGTGTGGCGACAGGCAGGACGGGCTGGCAACGGCGGCCTCACCCCCCGGTTAGCGCCGTGCTGTGTGACTTGGGGCCGGCGGCCGAAGCTCTCTGAGTCCTGGCGTCCGCCCTGAAAAGTGGGGCTGCCTACAGACCCCGTGGGCTGACGATTACCTTAGATCGTGTGCCACAAGGGCTCTGTCACTAACCCGGCAGGGAGGCTCTGTGGCCACAGACCCGGAAAAGGGAAGCAGACCCAGCGCGAGGTGTAGAACGATCTCCACGGATTCGGCGAACACGCCTCGTGAGGACGACTCGGGCAACACACGTCAGCCTCTCCTCTCACGTGTTCCCGGAATGAAAGTCACTTGCCACGGGTCGCGGTCCATTCAGACTTTATCAAGAGCCACCCGCCCAGGAGGAAGCTCCAGCTCCGTGGTGGACGTGATGGTGACACGCACAGACGTGGAGCCCGACCACGGGAAGCTTATGTTTCAGAGAGGGAATGGGGGGAAGGCAATCAGGGGACAAATAGATAAAACAATTACCAACTGGATCAGCTGTTGTGGAGAAAACACAACGGCAGAGGAGGGTGGGGGCTTTCTGGGCCGGCATGGTGGCCGATGAGCACACCTCTGAGAGGACAGGAGTTAAAGCCTAATCAGTAAGAAGACCTCGGTCCTGGGAAGAGTGCGGGAACAGCATTCTAGTCGGAGGGAGCATGTGCAAAGGCCCTGAGGTGGGGAATAGCACCCGAAGACCCGTGTGACCGCGTGGCGTGAGCCCGTGAGGATAAGACACGTGGGGCGAGGGTCACACTGAGCCTACGGCTGCGGCGCGGAGCTCGGATCTGATTCTGGGTGTGCTGGAAAGCCACCGGCACGGGTAAATAAGGCCACGGCAAAGAATGATTTGCGTCTTCAGGGGTGTGGAGCAGGCGGGAGTAGAGCGGGGAGACCGGCAAGGCTGTGGCCGCAATGGAGAGAGTGAGAGCAGGTGGGGAGGGGGGTGCTGGCCGAGGCGGGCGGGAAGGAGCGGAGGGAGAGGGGACGGCTGTGCACACGTCCCGGGGGGAACAGGACGTGAGTGCTGGGTGTGGCAGCAAAGCCAGAGCAGGGAGGACGCTGTCTGGGCTCCTGGCCTGTGCAGGCGGGACCACGGCGGTGCAGGGGGGCGGGCTCAGAGAGCCCGAGGGCTGTGGGCGCGGTGCAGGGGCGTGCGAGGTGCCTGGGCGCCCACAGTCGGTGCTGTCGCCTGGACAAAGTCGCTGGGGAGACGCTACGGGGACAGCAAGAGGGAAGGGAGGCAAGGGCCCAGCTCTTGGAGAAGCAGGATCCGGTGGTGTTCGCGAGGAGTGGGCGCGGGGGGGGGGGGGGGAGCCGAGACCCGCCCGGCGGCGACACGGGGCATGAATGGAGCGGTGTTTCGGCGGTGGACGCGGCGAGCGGCCATCCCCCGTAAAGAAGGAACTCAAAGGCCCTCATCCTGGAAAACCCGCGGTTTCCCTTCCTGGGCTGGGACGCCCGCGGCCTGGGAGGAGGAACCTCTTCCCGGCCGCCACGGCTGAGCGCTGGGACACCTGGCTCCCACGCATCCACCCTGTGGTCTCAGGAGCCCCTGCTCCCGAGTGGCCCTCTCCTGTCCCCAGATGCGCCCGTGACTGTGCAGAAGCGGCCGGCAAGCTGAGCGCGCAGGTCTCCCGCGGAGCCCGGGCCCCACCGGAGCAGGTGCTCAGCCCCAGGCAGCGGACGGCGGGGCCGCGAGGGGGCGCCTTCCTCCCAGGCTCCCCAGAGCGTCCTGAGTCTGTCTCCCCCGCCCTGCCCCTCCCGGGGCGTCAGCAGGGCGACAGGGGTGTCCTGAGGCCCCTCCCTACCCGGCACCCCTCACCTGGACGTCCAGCTCCCAGGGCGCCCCCTCCAGGCAGATGCCCCCGCATTTGCCTTCCTTGCACCCCGGCCGCCAAATCCGTCTCGAATATGCTGCCCCGCGTGCACTCTCGTCGGGGACTCGGGCGGGGGTGGGGGCCTGAACGCCCCACGTGGCCTCGGCCGCCTTCACCCCGGCCCCCCGCCTCCCTGCGCATTATTAGCCTCTCTGTCCCCTGCCCTTCTGCGGGTCACGGCTGCCGGCTGGGTCCGCCCTCCCCACTGGACCTGCCCGGCAGGTGCGGGGGCGAACGGGTACCCGGGCCCCATGTCAGCAGCCGGCTCCGGCGGTACCTGCTGGAAGCTCTCGCGCAGGTGGCTCTGATCCTCCGAGTGGCAGAATGCCAAAATGTCCTTTCCGAGGAGATCCTGAATAAAGAGACAAGCTTGAAGAACCGCCGCCCCCCACGACTGACGCGCGACTGCAGAAGCGTCCGTCCGCATCCCCTTCCGCCCTGTCCCTCCGCTCACCGCGTCGTAAGGGGGACAGCGGACACGGGGGCCCCCCCCCGGGCCCACCTCTGTCCCTCTGCACGCTCGGCACCCCTTCCGCATCTGGCTCAGGCCCCCCGTCAGCAGCCCCAGTGCGATTTTACTGGTTCGCCTTGGAGAGGCAAACCGTAACAGACACACTTTAGAACACTTAAAAACGTTTTAAAAACTTGAGGGACGTCTGCGTGGCTCAGTCGGCGAGGCGTCCGACTTCGGCTCAGGTCACGATCTCGCGGTGCGTGGGTTCGGGCCCCGCGTCGGGCTCTGTGCTGACGGCGCGGAGCCTGGAGCCTGCTTCCGATTCTGTGCCTCCCTCTCTCTCTGCCCCTCCCCTGCTCGTGCTCTCTCTCTCTCTCCCTCAAAAATAAATGTTTAAAAAAAGCATGAAAAGAAAGCAAATGGCAGGGTAAGGATGGATGCGCTGCCTATGGAAACCAGAACTGTTTTGGTGTGGACAGCGGCACTCTCTTGTGGCCGCACGCACGCTGGAGTGTGAGATAACTGCACTTGTGAAGGCTGTTTACCGTCTACCTTCACCGTCTGCCTTGTATCCAAAGGACCCAGCACTAACCCGAGACCAAAGCGTGTTTTGCCGCAAAACCAGCCAGTGGAAGACGAGCCGTCACAGGGCAGCTCCTGTGTGTTGTGGGAAAGTGGCCCAGCTGGACGTGGGATGTGTCGTGGGCGGCAAAGGATGGAGGCTAATCCACTGATTGGAACCCGAACCAGCAAGTGGCCTCAGCGGGAGCTGGCAGGGGGGAGGAAGTCCGCTCTGCGTGCCAAGAAGCATCTAGATGCTCCTGGAAGGTGCCGGCGGGTGCACGGGTCTGGCTAGGCACATGCCGCTGTCCGGGGTCATGGTGAATTTGGGGACCAGTTAATTTCCTCCCTTGATTCCACCCAAGAACCTCAAGTCTGCAAGAATCTAGAGATGGAGGTTTGTACGAATGGTTCCAGTATTTCGATTTGGTTTGTGGTTCTAATATCACAGGTGAGCGAAAGACCCACACCGGCGTATCCCAAATTTCGCTCCTAGAACAGAGGTCTTCTTCGTTCTTTTTTTAAGTGCTTTTTATTTCGGAAGACACTAAAATCTATAGAAAAGTCCTTTACCTAGATTGTCACGTCTGCGGTTTTCACTTTCTTTTGCACGTATGGAAACACAAATACATGAATGAGAGATATGAAAATATGTGTAACGAAACATCTTTCATACCTACACACACACCCTGAAAAAGTTCTTATTAAATCATCTGGAAGCAGCAGACAGAATGACACCTGTCCTAAAGTATGTATCTCAGAAAATGACATCTGACAAAAAAATGAATATTCCGTATGACACCTAAAAACCCCACGGATACTCCACACATATTAATATTTCTTCAATTATCTCCCAGACGTCTTTCTGGTTACGTGTCTCTAGCCTGGGGCCCCACGGAAGGCCTTCCCGCTGCAGACTGTGCCGTTTTGTATTTGGTTTCTCTTAATCTAGAATAACTTCTCCTGCCTTTCTGTGTCTCTCGTGACGCTGATGTTTCTTAAAAAAGGTCTGGGACAAAGACCGGACAATATGCTCCTGTAACAAAAGGTCCCGAATACGTTTCAGTAACGAGGGATTAGGCAAAATTAGGTGAACGTCTGAACGTCTTTCCTCAAGGCTTCTCCGTCTTGTCACTGAGAACATGTTTTTTTTAAGTTCCCAAGAAGATGTCCTGTTCCGTGATCATCCACGTTAACGGATCCGAGAGCCCCTTTTCCCTAGAGCATCTTGACTCTGGTTTGTGAAAACTCAGCCAGATGGACGGGATGGCGAGGGCCAGAAGCAGAGGGTTAATTTTAAGCCGTGCAGCCAGCCGTGTGCAACGCCTTCCTTGCTTTGGAAGGACATCCCTCTCTTCTGGCAGGAATATGGATTTCAATGCCGTGTTCCCTACACCGTCGTCCTGCTGAATCTCGAACAAAGGACAGAAAGGCTTTTCAAGTAAAAGGTAAATGTCTAGCCACCCGCCACGGGCCCCGAGCTACGTACCTGGGGTTGGTAGCCAACCACGCTGATGCACCGGGGGTCCACGAACGTGATGACCCCATCAGAGCTGTGTCGGGATAAGAACTCCGTGGGCACCGACACCCCGCTCATGTCCATGCACACGGGAGAGCTGGTCACCTGCGAGGAGGGACCCGCACTGAGGTGGTCTTGACAGAGACAGGGACAGGGCAGGGGAGGCAGAGACTGGGAACAACCCACGGGGACTTAATGTCACAGATGCTTCTGTGTCATCGGTACAGCGGGTCTGAAACGTTCAAAGGGGCGCCTGGGCGGCTCAGTCGGCTGAACGTCCGACTTTGGCTCAGGTCACGATCTCGTGGTCTGTGAGTTCGAGCCCCACGTCGGGCTCTGTGCTGACAGCTCGGAGCCTGGAGCCTGCTTCGGATTCTGGGTCTCCCTCTCTCTCTCTCTCTCTGCCCCTCCCCCACTCACACTCTGTCTCTCTTTCTCTCTCAAAAATAAATAAATGTTAAAAAAATTTTTTTTTTTATATCTCATGTCTTTGCCTCTTCCTCTAAAGAGGAAAATTCTAGGGGCTCCTGGGTGGCTCAGTCGGTTGAGCGTCTGGCTTCGGCTCAGGTTATGATCTCGAACTTCGTGAGTTCGAGCCCCGCGTCGGGCTCTGCGCTGACAGCTCAGAGCCTGGAGCCTGCTTCGGATTCTGGGTCTCCCTCTCTCTCTGCCCCTCCCCCACACATGCTCTGTCTGTCTCTCTCTCTCAAAAATAAATAAACATTAAAAAAAAATTTAACATTCAAAGCGTCCTGGCCTCGCCTTCGACTAATTGTACGCTTGGGCCACCTTACGTTCTGAGCCTCAGTTTCCCCACCGGCCAGTGGGAACAACGAACCCCCTGCGATCTCACAGGGTATGCAGCTGGTGCTCAGAGGTGTTCCTACTCTTCCCTTCCCCACCTTCCCCTGACTCAGGATGGCAAATGGCTGTACGGGACGGGTCAGATGTTTGGAGGGTAGACGCTTGTGGAGCGCGTGTTTGCACGGCTCCACTCCCCCCCCCACTGTGCGCCATACGCCCCGCTTCCCACTGTGAGGAATAAGCAATGCTTATCACACGTGGATACGTGAATGATGCCTCTCAACCACGTGTCTGAAGGCGGTGAGACCCGGGAGCCAGGAGCGCGACAGGCTAGCGTCCCCCGAGCCACGTCTACTGTGGCCCGCGGTCGCCGGCTCTCTCCCACATCCAGCCTCCACCCTGCCCGGCGAGGGGCCCGGAGCCCTGAGGACGCTGGGCTCGCAGGGCCGGGGACAGTCACCCACCCGCTCCTGCTGTCCTCCCTCACCTGGAGTCTTCCGATGGCCACGAGGCAGTACTTGCTGCCCTGCCCCACGTCCGCGTCCTCCTCGGGTATAGTCATGCCTGAAACGAGACAAGCCGGGCTCGTCCACGCCTGCCCAAGGCGGATGGGAAAGGGCAGAAGCGCCCAGGCACGTACGAGTGCAACCAAAACCACAGGTGCACGTGGACCACCCAGGGTCTGGGGAGGCGGCGGTGAAGGGACCCGCCCGGCCGGCGTCTCCGGTGGCCTCCCGGGGCCTCACCCCTGCGTCTGTGGATGACGCGCAAGATCGTGAGGAAGATGAAGCGCAAAGTACCCATTTGGACATTTGCAAACTCGGCCAGGACGTCCAGCTATAAAAGAAACCTCGGGAAGAAGCCCAAGTGGGCATTTCTGGGGCCGTAAACGTTTCATTTGCACGGACTCGAAAGGAGAAAAGGGGGTGGTTACCGAGCGCTGAGAACCAGAGCTCTCTGGGGCGCCCGGCCGGCTCAGTCGCCAGGGCATCATTAGACTCCGGATCTCGGGGCTGCGAGTTCGAGCCCCACGTTGGGCGCGGGGATCGCCTAAAAATAAAATCCTTAAACAACAAACAAAACCCCGGTGCTCTGGAGAGGCAGGACCTGGTGAAAACAACCCTTGTTGTTCTCTGGTCGGAAAAGAGTCTTCTGCCCCGTCCGGCGGGGGTCTGGCAATGCGCGTCGCTCGTGGTGCAAGGTTCCCTCTCGCCTTAGCGAAGCAAGGAAGCGTCTCTTACGCCACGCAGCTTATCATAAAGACCGCCACACTGGTCACCCCAAAGCTTCCGGGGATGCAACCCCACAAGTACGGGGACAGCCCCTCACCGCCGACCGCGGCTCTGAGAGCCAGAGAAGCGTCGCTCCGTTCCCAGCGCACCGTCCCGTCCGCTCCCGCAGGTGGCCGGTCTCTGAAGTTTCTGCCTCACCCCTGCTGTATTTCTCTCCTACCCAAAGGAGCAGGTACACGCGTCATTTTCTTACCTTCTCTCCTTTGGACCGGGAAGAGGAGTGCTCCTTAGACACTCCCGGGCTTTCGCTCACCTCACCGGACAGCAGGTCCCGGAACGCACGCCCTGGTTATTCCCAGATCGCAGGTACCGGGGCTCATCGGCCACTTGCCCGCGTGCGAACATGCAGGTGTTTCTGACGCTGGGCAGAGTCAACGCCTCAAAGAACCACCTTGTGCTCGTGCGTCCTCCAGCAACTGGAAGGAAGTGCGCCTGTGGATTCACCCAGAGGACACCCGTCCCAGGGACTGCCGGGTGCAGGGCAGGTGCGGTCGTAGGTTTGGGTGTTGCCAAATTTCCCCTGGGAGGGGCGTGCTGACGAGCGTTCCCACAACATGTCCGAGAGGCCTGCGTGCCCCCCCCCCCCCATCGCGGCCAACCGAGCGTGCCGTCACGTACGTGTGAGGACCAGTTTTGGATCCTGTCCTTCCGTGAATTATCTGTTCCGTCTCTTCCCCATTTTCCTCCTGGGATTTTGGTCCTTTGACTCTCAATTTTCTCTTGAATGCTTATTTATTTTGGAGAGAGAGAGAGAGAGAGTCCAAGCAGGGGAGGGGCAGAGAGGGAGGGAGACACAGAATCCGAAGCGGGATCCAAGCTCCGAGCTGTCAGCACAGAGCCCGACGCGGGGCTCGGACTCACGAACGGCGAGATCATGACCTGAGCCGAAGTCGGTCGCTTAACCTACTGAGCTTCCCAGGCACCCTTCTGCCTCTCAATACTCAAGAGTTCGTCACATATTAAGGGATTAAGTCCTTGTTGTGAATATGGTCTCCTGGTTGGTGCCGTCTTCTGGCTTTGAGTATGGCGACTGAACAACTTGAGTTTTTATGGAGTCAGATTCATCAATCTTTTCTTTTACCACCATCGTTCTTTTTTTTTTTTTTAAATGTTTTGTTTTTTTTTTTTCAACGTTTATTTATTTTTGGGACAGAGAGAGACAGAGCATGAACGGGGGAGGGGCAGAGAGAGAGGGAGACACAGAATTGGAAACAGGCTCCAGGCTCTGAGCCATCAGCCTACCACCATCGTTCTTAAGATACCAGCAAGCTCTTTTATGGAGTTCCGGAAAGCCATTTCCTACACCAAAACTCACCCGTGTTTTCCCCTGATGTTTTCATGCTTTCACTTCCTACATTTAGATCCCTAACCTACTGGAAACTATTCTCGTGTGGGGCGTGAGCCACGGGATCTGGTCTTATCTCTGTCCGAATGGCTGTCTGTTTGTCCGTCCACATTTATTAACGGCGCAGTGATGTAAGACGTTGCCTTTATCCTACGATAAATTCCCATACACCTTTGGCTCTAATTCTGGGCTTTCTCTTCTGTTCTACTGGCCAGCGGTCTATTAAGCATCAGTCCTGTGCGATTTTAATTATAGAGGTGTTATTGCAGGGTTTAGTATCTGGTAAGGCTGTTCCTCTCTTACACTTTTTCAGTGTTTTCTAGGCTATTCTCAGGGATTTACATGAAGCTTAGTACCAACTTAACTTCACTCCACAAAATAGCTTGCTGGTTTTCTTATCTGGCCTGCATTAAATGTATCAATTAACTTCACGAGAACGGACATCTTTGTAATGCGGAGTCATCTTCCCCAAGAACGGGGGCTTTTTCCGATTTGTTTGAGCCTGCTTTTGTGTCTTCGGGGGGTGTTTAAAATTTTCCTCACATGTACCTGTACTCTGTACACTTACTAAAGTTATTCCTAAGTCTTTAATCGTCTTCCGTTGCTATTTAAAGGGGGTTCGCTCTACCGTTACGACTTCCGTTTATTATTTATGTATACGGGGATGATTGATTTTGTATGTTAGCACCGCGGTGTGCCATTTCACTGAATTGTGCTACTGTTTCAGTTAGCTTTGTGACTGGCCCACTGGGCTTTTGCAGGTGAACTATCCCAGAATTGAAAAGACATCATTTTTCCTTCTTCACACATTTAGTTGCCTCTGATTCATCTACGGGAACGGGCTAGTATCTCTTAACGACGCTGAAGCGTGGTAGAGAGATTGGGAAGTCCTGCCTTGTTTCTGATCTTACTGGAAATGCCGGAGATTTCTCGATCACATAAGATACCTTCTTAAAAGAGAAGTTATCCCCGAATCACTTTGGTATTCTTGAAAATCTATCGAATGCCTTCATAGGAGACATCTGGATTCTAACATCTGTTACGCACACAGTCGATTACAATATATTGTTTTACTTGAGGTATGTAAAGAAAACGTGCCCTCACACAGACAGGTAGCTGGAGGAGGGAGAAGTTTTTTCTCAGATCATTGTGGATGGTAATCTTTGATGCTTTCCTAAATCTTGACAAGTGGCTGTTTCTCCTTTTTTTTTTTTTTTAATGTTTATTTATTTTTGAGACATAGAGTGTGAGCAGGGAGGGGGGAGCAGAGAGAGAGAGAGGGAGACAGAATTGGAAGCAGGCTCCAGGCTCTGAGCCATCAGCACAGAGCCCGACACGGAGCTCGAACCCACGAACCACGACATCATGACCTGAGCCGAAGTCGGACACTTAACCAACTGAGCCACCCAGGCGCCCTGACAAGTGGTTGTTTCTTTAAGGTCAACTGCAATGTAAAAATAAAAACTGTATCAATGAGTATTTCAGCATTCTGTTACATTATAACAGATTGGTCTTACACTTTGAATGGGCCTTTTACTGATATATGACTGGAACACAATGTATTCATCACTAGGGAAATACTGGTCCAACAAATCACACAGATCTAAATGTTGCCACATTAGAATACATGATATTTTAAAAATCTGGTATATTAAAAAAAATACCATGGCGTATTTCATCAGAAACATTTCTAGGTATTGGTCAAGACCATGGTGGTGGACACAAGTTTCCCAAAATTCACTTTCTTACTAGAAAGCTTTAATTGTATCACTGACAGCAAATACTATCATTTTCATTGAGGTGACAGGTTCATTTTAATTTTTTACAAAAATATCTGCCAAATACACAAATTTATTTACCTTTTTTTAATGTTTGTTTTTGAGAGAGAGAGAGAGAGAGAGAGAGAGAGAGTGTGCGCGCGCGTGCATGAAAGCAGGGGGGTGGACAGAAAGAGGGAGACAGAGGATCCCAAGCAGCCTGATGTGGGGCTTGAACTCACGAATCATGAGATCATGACCCGAGCCGAAGTCAGACACCTCACTGACTGAGCCCCCCAGGCGCCCCCCAAATATGCAAGTTTAAATAAACCACAGTTTGTCAGTCATTCTTTCAAGTAAAAAATGGCGTTTCATAAAAAAGGCAACTTGTTGGGCTCACAACTCAAACAACTGCACATGTGCTTCTCCCGGACACAACCACTATGCTTGGATATGCAGCACAAGTGGCTGTGTGCGTGCGTCCTTCCCATTTCAGGGTCCCATCCGGTCAGTGCTTTTTACAGCCTCATCAAGGACATGCTTACGCGAAACCAGCATTAAAAAAATGTTACACTGTCTTTCACTGCAAGCGTGTGGTGACCACGACGGCGGGTTGGTGGCACTGCCTTGAGGCACGCTGAGGCTCCACAAGTGTCTACCCGCCACTGCCTACGCACCACCCGCGCAAAGCGGACGCAGTTTAAAGGTCCAACCACGTCTCGGTGCCCCGGGGAAAGCGTCTCAACGCTGCGCGCCTCTGCGACGGTCTCCGGACGCCCGGGGTCCACGGAGCAGCCCTGACAGCCGCCACCGCACGTGCTGTCACCCCCCCCCCCCCCAGCCTGGGCCTCCCGGCCTCGTCTCCGCTGATCCTCTCCCCCTGCCTCCACTTCTAGCCACACAGTAACCGGACCCGAGACCGTCCCGACTCGCTTTGCCTCTGGAGCTCCAGGCCCTGACTCCACCTGCCTCCTGGGAAGATTCACCCCTGTCTCACGCCGCCGTGAGACTCAACCCTGCCCAAATCCTCCTGCCAACGCCCGCTCCCCTGGTCTGCTCTCCTGCAGAGGACGGCTGGTGACCTCTCCCCCTTCCGCGTCTGTCCCCGCCCCCTTCCGCGCAGGCGGACGTCCCCTCCCCCTCCCGCGTACGTTCCCGCCCCCTTCGTCC